CCCCTAAAGACATTTACCTCTAACAAAGCCTAATCATAACCAGAACCAGAAATACAATTCCAACTTATGTTTCGTCAGTGAGGTGTTTTGTTTTCATATAAAGTAACATCTTCACATCTCCATCTGCACTTACAGTTTCCCAGAATATCTGAATATAGGAGAAAGCTAGGCACGCCACTAAGGCAGGGAAGTGACCACTTCTTGCAGTAGAGGAAGGCATTTCTGTAGGATTGTTACGTGTTTCCATAATTGCAGGCACTCCTACCTCTGGTCATTTCAAATCATTTAGCATACTGGGAATAAAGACTATTTTGCAGTATACTGGCAAGATTCTTCCATTTGTCAATTACATATAAACTAATTTTTGCTAGAGAATTAACTAGACCATAGCTAAAATAATTATATATGAGCAATAGAGAAGGCATGGATAGAATGAATGTGAATAAAAGAGGGTCAGACTTGATGTACCATAAAGTGGGAGTATTGTCAAAATCTAGGAAGGTGAAGTTCAAACCAGCAAAATGGCATAAACATGCTGTTTTTAAACATTATTTCCTGAAGTTTTTTGAGTATGCATTCCAACCCCACCCTTACCCTGCCTTCCATTCTTGTTAGATAGCAAATCAGTCCTTGCACAATGTCTCCTCCCTCGGCTCCTGGTGCCCAGAGGGTTATACAATCGCTGCCCTCTTCCCTGAGCCAGGACACAGCCCAAGTCCCCATCTCAGCTCAGCCTCTGGGCTCTGCTGTCTGCCGGGCTGAGGCACATCATATGGTGCCATTTAACAACTGCTGACCCTAGTCCCAGCATGTGATAAGTCCTTGCAGAAACAATTCAGCCCTTAAATGCTCCCTTCTCGAGGTAGTGTTTTAACCCTCACATTTATCCTCAGATTACTAATCCTCATATTTTATCAAATTGATCACAGTAAACCATTTCAGATTTTTTTAAAGATGTAGAGTAACAGTAGTATAAATATAATAAACTGAGACAAAATGAAAATAGGTCAGTTCAGGTCAGGTACTGAAGCTGAAATCTTAAGAATTGGGATGAAGAAGTCACTTAGAAGAGACTGAAATAATGAAAAAAAAAAGACTTGGAAAAGCCAGGTGGAAGACTGGGACACAGAGTGGATACTGACACATGCCTTGATTGTCTTAGCAGGTGATGAGGTCATTTCTGGCTTGGAAATTTCCACCCTTTGTCACTATGAGGTCTTGCTTCATTTCCTTTCCTGTTCTTGAAGATCCTTGAAATTGCCTGTGGGATTCTTAAAGTCAATTTCCTTTTCTTTAACTGCCTTTTCCCTCAGCCAAAAGTTGCTGAAGCCATTAAAGACTGAACATGGAATAAAGAGAAGGATTTGGGAGAAACACTGTTCTCAGCATACTGAATTTCGGGTTGGAGTGTCCACTGCACATTTGACTACGCCAAGGAGATTTTTAAGCCTGTGACCATAGAGTGTAGTTGAAATTATAGGAGAGGATGAGATCTTGCATCTTGAGGGAGGAGGAAAAGGCTCATGAGTGACGCAAGGAGAGCACCAGAGCAGGGACCAGCTAAGCAAAGGAGAGCCAGCATGAGACCTGCAGGGGGAGAGCCAGGGTGGTTAACAGAGGACGGAATGCCACTGCCACATGCTCCAGAAAGGTCAAGTGCCTTGGAGAAAAGGCACACTGGACTTTGCCCTGAGGTCCCTGATGGCCTTCACCTGGTTTCTGTGGCGATAAGGGAAGAATTAGGCTTCTGTAGGTCAAGGAGAAATTGTGAGCCAGGGACTGAAGAGCACACTGGTGCATCCTGATGAGCTTTTGGAAATAGGGCAGAAATCCATCATGATGATAGAGGAGAGGTGCGTGACTGGCGGCTGAACTAGACCTTGGGGTTGGTCAGATAACAAATATATCTTAACATGTGAAGGACCCAGCAAGTTTGAGTGGTCTACAGGGTGGCAAAACCAGTAAGCGGCACATGGAACAGACGGTGGCTAGGACTCTGATTCCACATCTCCCAGCATGTGGAGATGGACTCTTATCCAAACAGGATAAGATGAACAGGAAGTGTCATGGTTTCTTTGGCAACTGAATTTCTTCTTTCTCATAGAGGAGAATATGTTTGTGATGAAGTATATTTACCCGCATAGCCATTGCATTGCACTTGCAAAAATGTGCTAATTAAAAAGACACTGGATCACCAGGTCTGATGTTCACTCCTGTAACCCTAGGTCCTCCAGAGGCTGAGGCAGGAGGGTCACAAGACTGAGCAATTTAGTGAGACCCAATCTCAAAATAAAAAATTAAACAGGGTTGGGGATGTAGCTCAGCTCCCCATGAGTTCAACCTCTAGTAATGTTGAAAGAAACAAAAGCTACTGAGTTACCGTAAAGGATGATAAATATTTTTAGTAGATATATATGTTTGACCTGATTTATGTACTATAATATTCTGTACCATATACATGTTTCAAAGCATTACATTGTATGCCATTTATATATAATTTTTATGTTTTATATATCAAAGAAATCATTTTTTAAAACTGCAGAGCAGAATGCCGAATTTAGCCATGTTACAAATGTGGAAAATCAAATCAGTGTATGAATTTCATAAGAAATTCAGGGAGAAGCTTTGATACTGTAGTTTTATTTTTTATTAGCAAGAATCATTAATATTTTTAAATAATGTTAAAAATACCTATGGAACTAGAAATTTAAGGTAGTGAATCTTAAAATAACCATTCTTATTTATAGTGATATGTCTCATCCTTGGGCAGCTGCATGTAAATATACAATATTTACATGCATTTTTTAGTATCATACCAGAATTTAACCTTAGTTTTTGGTATATAAGAGCACCACCTATGGATTTCTTCTATAGTATTTGAGAAATTCTTCTTAAAAAGAAAACTAATAAAAACCTAATAAAGTTTGTTCTAGTTTTTTCCTTGCAATTAATCTGTCATTTATGTAAAGGTTAACAATTTTCTGCTTTGTCATGGAATACTCTCACCTAGATTTTTGCTGAATTTCACAGCTGTTAAGTCAGCTAATAAGTATTTGAGTATTTACATGGCAGTATCAACTCGAAGTTGTATTATGCTGTTTAATGCAGATGAATTTTTAAAGAAAATAAACACTTGTCCATATTTGGGGGAATAGTTCCCCATACTGTAATTATTTTTGCATGTTTATTTATATCTTCATGAACTTAAGAGACCTTCCCAGAACACTTTGGTAAGAGATAATGAAAAAGATCCTATAAATGATCTAGGGTATCTTTTTATTAAATTATTGTGATAATAACTCAGAGCAAAGTAGAAACAAAACTGGCAACTTAGAAATTTAATCTTTTTCTAAAACACTCATTAAAATTGACATTTTTCTTGTAAGGGAAATTTAATGAAACAGCAACAACAGAAAAATGGAAATTTTGGCTGCTTGGGCAGTGAGATGAACTTAGAGCTGGGACTCTCCGTACTCTGAGGGCTACCCAGGCTGAGGTCAGCTCCTGTCAGGCTTGAGCAAGTTGTCCACAGCAGGGTGTTTAATTTAAAGCCTGGATTGAAGGTTTGCTTCAGAGAATGAGAGCTGGACTGAAGAAGTAAGGACTGACTTTAAGCAGTATACCTTACTTTATTTTGGTCATTGTGGCTAAGGTTTTTTAAAGTATGTAGTATATTTTCTAACGTAATTAAATTGAACAGACTATATAAGTCTGTTACAAAAAAAAATTTTTTTCCAAATTACAATTATAATTATATTTGACTCCCTACAAGTTGAGTTATTCGATTTCTAAACTAATATCAGGACTCAAAAAGCATGAGCATCGGGCCATATTTTGTATGAGCCACTTTGTTGACACTGGCCGTTTACCTGACAGCTCTTGATAGGTCTGTGTGATAATTGGGTGATTATTATGACAGCCTTCTCTTGTCATGTGGAAAACAGGCAGTAAGGTGCCTATTCTGAGCACTCATGGGTCTGAGTTCAATAGGTAGTTTTTTTATTATTCTAAAGATCTCTTCAGCACCTCTGGTAACTGTTTATGTATGCCTGACAGCTACTCTCCATTTCTAATCTGTTGCTTCTAATCTGCTGTTACATTAAACATTGAGTGCTCTAATTTGTTGAAATTGTGTTAAAAAAAAAAGATTCTATGATTTGAAATTCTAGTTGAAGGCTTAAGCATTCATCATGTTGTTGTTTGTAGTACAGGAACTTTATTTTTAATTGAGGGAGAATAAATTGATATCGCTAAATTCTCTAGAGATAAAATATTTACTATATTGCAGTGAGATTCAAGATAATACAAGGAGAATGATCCAGGAAAGTATTGGTATTAGTTTCAATTTATTCCATATCCATGAAAATTTTCTTCCATGATGATCAGATATCTAATCATACAGTGATATTTTTAAGCACTACGGTATTTCAAGAGTTTATTGTTCAGTAAATTAGGAAGCATTCGTGACCCTGTAATAAAGTTTGGATGTGTTAATGAAATAAATGGAAGAACTACTATATTTTGCAGTAATTTTTAATGTTTTGCTGTCTTTATCCAATCACCTACTAACATCCTAGTAAAAATTACATTTATTTAAAGTGCTCTAAAAGCAAGATGGGAGTCATAAGGCTGTAAACACAGTAATTCAGTAAATACTGAACTTTAGGTAATTTATAATGAAGGAATATAAATTTAAAAGGTGGGCTTGAGAAAAGATAGCTGGGTTAGTCAGATTCCTTGGCTAACTGTAGTAATCCCGACTCTTGAATAATGCAATTTGAAAACTTCCTTGCCTGCCCAAAACATGTACTTAATTTTGTCTAAAAGGGAAGAAATTAAAAGATCACATTGAACTAATAGAAGCTTTCTAAGGTTGTTAATACCACATATTACTGCATATGATTTTATGTCTGAACTGGTTTTTTTAAAATAAATACTGATTTACTTAATGCTGTTTTAAAGCCTAATGATTACCTAGGATTGCTTTGGCTGTCTTCCAGCTTGTGGAGAGACTCCAGAACAAATCCGAGCACCAAGTGGTATAATCACAAGTCCAGGCTGGCCGTCTGAATATCCTGCCAAACTCAACTGCAGCTGGCTCATAAAGGCAAACCCAGGGGAAATCATTACTATAAGGTAATTTTGATACCTTTGTTGTATTATAATATTTATTACAAAATGTAAATTAGATTAAATTTCCAAGTATCATTACCTAACAGTAATATAAAAAGATGTTTTAGAAGATAAATGTTATATCTGTCAGTATCATCTTAAGAGTAACAAGAGTTTCGAATACTTTCTAATAATGGTAACATATTTACAGTGGGTCATCTGTTTTCTTCTAAGCTACTGTTTAACAAAAAATACACATTTGCTGCATAACTCATTAGGATCAAGAGTAAACTTAGGCAATGGAACAAAGTTTACTAATCCACTTGGAGATATGGCCCCTAACTTTGAGTTGAGTCCTTTACCTGAAGGTGTTAAAACGTGATCATAGATGCATATCTGCAAAATTACCATACATTTAAGATTCTATCAATAAATATGATATAAATATAAAAGGTTAAGATTAACTCATTAAAAAATTAATACAGAGAAAAACTAGGACTAAGATACTGTGCAGAGATTGTTTAGTAGACTAGATATTGCTTAAGGAAATTTTATCAAGGATATTAGAACAAAAATACCTAGAATGAGAGAGGAAGTGTGCCTGAACAAAAGAACCGTATTTGGAGCTGAAACAAGAATACGTTCCCATCACAGACACAGCACTCTGCAATAGCATGAATACACCATGGACACCCTCTCAGCTGTTACGTTGTCATGGGTGGGAAGCATGGAATTTTAGATTAGAAGAGACTTTGCAGATCATAGCCTCAAATCATTTGTTGTACATTTTTTAAAATATTGTAAACATGGCCTACTTTCTCATCTTTTCCATCTCCCCTTTTATATTCTTTAACTCATAAGCAAAGCTGCCTGTCTTGGAAACAACTGCCTTCTGTTCTCTTTTCACGTGGAAGCTAGCAGCAAGTGCCATATGGTTTGTTTTTCTTTTAGGCTCCTCTATCCCAGGTGACTTCTTCTGGAGCTCTGGAGCTTCTTATGTGCTTACAAAGTAACATTTTACCAAATATTGGATGTTTCATATAAAACGAGAATTTGTAGAGATTTTTATCTTTTAACCTGCAAGTTAAACTTGGAGTTTACTAGCTCAGTTATATAACATTTGGAAGTTCTTGTCTGCCCAGAAGGATTACAAGAATACTATCATCTTGTTTTGATTTTGTGTTGGATCCCTGAGATTTCTCAAGTAATATACACTAAAAATCAAGTATAATACTGAAATGTGGAACAAAATTAGAGGTGAAACCTACATGTAAGAAGAAATTTTCTAAATTCTTTCAGTTAATGAGTTTGGATTTACACAGATGAGAAAGTGATTTTAATAACAAAGTTATTATTATAGCAGTACCAAAACTTAAAAATGACACATAACTAAAGACAGGGGTTTTGCCTGTGATTGTTCTTGTAAAATCTTAAATAAATGATTCAAAAGACTCTTACGCCATAATCAAGTGCAGTTCGTTACAGACATGCAAATTAGTTAGAGAATTTTAAATTGATTTACCTTGTTAACAAGTCAAAAGTGTATCATTATCTAGGATAGACAGATGCTTTAAAGCATTTTGATTTAAAGGAAAATCAGCACTTATTCCTAAATTAAAAAAAAAAAATTAAAACCCCCAGTAAAATGGAATTGAAATATGGTTTTAAAAAATCTGGATAGAAGAAAACAGTTACAGAGTATAAACGAACAATACTGAGAGCTCTCTGTAAAACAGGCTGAAAAGGTGACATAAAGGCATTTTTACTCTGTCTCCCTTGAAACCCACCCATATCAACAAAGACCAGCTTATCCATGGGAGGGAGACACTTGAATCCTAGCCTGCTGCTCAAAAGCTAAGGACTGGGGTAGAGCTATTGTACTCAAGAAAGCATCCTGAGAGCAGCTTCCCCTAACTACGGCTTGAACTGCTTGGAGTGGAGGGCTTCAAGGTGAGAAGACAGATCCTAGCAAGTATGAAGGACTTTTCCACCTGCTGCCCCCATGGCAGGGTCGTTAATACTCTGAACCAGCATTTAAGACTAGTTCTGGAATGGACACCCAGGTAGGGGACATAAAGGGAAAAAGAGAGAGAACTAAAAACTTCAAAATAAACCTGCCCCCTGAATCCTGGAATGTTTCAGAAAATTTAATGCTAAGGAAGTCATCCAGCAAAATTGGACTGGAATACAAATTTACTGGAGATATTTGAAGATTTATGTTGTCAGCGGGTTCATTCTTAACCTTTTTGGTACCTGTTATAGGCATTTGGTAGTCTAGTGAATCTATGGGTCCTTTCCCACAATATAGGTTTTTAAATTCATAAAACACAAAATTACAGACCCTAATTATATTAAAATACAGCTATCAGATATCTTAAAATATGTTAATGACATGCTTATTAATACTAATAAGAATTAGTGGTAGTTCTAGTAACTACTGTAATTTCAAAGTAATTTTGAATGTAAAAAGTATTTTTAGGTATCTCTGAAAACTGAAATGTAATGTGGAAGTATCTTTTCTGATAGTGACATAATGGCAGGTACCGTAAAATACTATCATGGTTTATTGTTTATAAGTAAAGGAAATGCTCATGTTAATGAAAATAAAGTTATAAATTATTTCCACCCATTTTGAGAATTTGGAAGAACAGAAACTGAATACTCTTTGCCTTGGTTAGGGAAAAAAGTGTCCATTAGTATTTGAGTTAAAATACCTGAAGATAACCAACTTTTTTTTAAAAAGTAACATTAAGTATTGAGCAGAGGAAAGGGAAGTTTTTAAAAAATTGTATTAATGCAAAAAACATAAAGGAGGAAAATGAGAATTCAAAAAGGCTATTAAACACACAAATGTATTAACTCAAACCTTCCAAAGACAGATGATCTAATCAGATTTATTGGTTGATTAATTAGTATAATCCTGCTCTATAAAGGGCTTATAGGAAACGAAACTAATACAGGAAATCTAAAATGGGGACAGAGAAAAGATTGGCTTTGGAGACCCTGATGAAGAGCAAGCTAGTAGAGGGAGGGTGGCACCGACTGTGATGGAGCCTAAGGCTCAAGTATTACTAACAAATGAGAAAATCTGCTGGGAAGAGACTAGAGTAGTAAATTGTGGGTTCCTAAAAACAGCCTAAAATACATAGGAAGCAAAATATGGAGAATTGCCTACCAAATTTGACTAATCCACAGTGATAGTAGATTTGAAACATACTTTTAATGCTTATATCTGTTTCAACACATAGATAAAAGCTTTCACATACAAACCAGCACTCCAAAAAATTTTAAACAATATCCCAGGAAAAGACAATGAGGATCACAGCCCCAGGAAGCCCAGCAGAACAAATCCATGAGGCACAACAAGAAATTAAACACAAAGGGGGAGAATCCAACAAAAAGAAAAAGTCATGACAAGGATGAGTCAGTACGTATCAGTTATAACAATCGATGTTAATGGTCTTAATTCACCAATCAAAAGAAATAGACTGACAGAATGGGTCAAGAAGCAAGATCCAACAGTATGCTGCATATAAGAAACACTTAATTCAAAAAGAAACTCACAGACTGAAAGTTAAAAGGTGGAAAACAATACTCCATGTGACAGGAACCCAAAAAAAAGCAGGAGTAGCTATCCTCTTTGCAGATCAAATGGATTTCAAACGAACACTGATTAAGAGAGACAGAGAAGGCCACTACATCCTTGTAAAGGGAACAATCCAAGAGAAGGAGATGACAAACATATGTGCACCAAACACTAGTGCGCCCGGGTATATAAAACAAATACTAATGGACATGAAAAGTCAAATAAGCACTAATATGGTAGTAGTGAGAGACCTCTATACCCCACTGTCACAAATAGATCAACTAGACAGAAAATAAACAACAAAATACTAGAATTCAATCAGACTCTTCAACAAATGGACTTAACAGATGTTTACAGAGTGTACCACCCCACAGAATCAGAACACACATTTTTTGGCTGCACACGGGTCATTCTCCAAAATAGACCACTTATTTTTAAAAATGATTTGTTAAATCACAAAAAAATATTTAGTACACTTCAAAGACTTTTCATCGTTCAAATTTTGTTTTCGTGTAAGTTTTGTTTTCTTGCTAGAGTGACATTAAAGGGAAAAAATATTAAGCCTGTATGTTTGGAAACATATTCCTAAATAACTCCTGCATTAAAGAGGAAATTATAGTAGAACTAAATATTTTTTTAAGTAATCATAGTTGATAGTGTTACATATTACAACTGTTGGAAAACATTAAAAGAATACTGAGAGAAAAGTTTATAGGTTTAATGTGTGGATTTAAATATTAGTAAGATGGAAAATAAATAAGCTCAGTATTTTACCTTAGTGTTTTAGGAAAAGAATTGTAAGATAAATTTTAAGATAGAAAAGAATTGTAAGATAAATTTTAAGATAGAAAAGAAAGATCAGAAAAACAGATTCAATAAAATAAAAAGCAGTCTTTCTGAAAAACCAATTTAAAAAAAGCTTAAGGCAAAAATGAAGAAAAAAGATACAAATAAAAACAAGAACAAAGTGTCTATAATAATAAATGTAACAGAAATTTTAAGTCATAAAAGAATATTATAAGTAGGTTTATGTTAACACTGTTACACAATCAGATGAAATGGGTCATTCCCTAGGAAATGTATGTATATTACCAAATTTATTTCAAGAAGAATTTTTAAACTGATGAAATCAATAGCCATTTAAGAAACTGAGTCAATATCCAAAAGAAAATCTCCAGACTTAAATATTTTTAGGCAGTTTTGACCTGCTGAATAGATAAGGAACTTCTGTTAAAAAGCTGCAGGAAGCAAACTATATGTCCTGTAGCACCTAGGACCAGACAAGTGACTTCACTGCTTGTGCTAGAAGCCCTGTGAGTGACACAGTGCAACAGATAGAAATCAGTGAAAGGAAAACATGAAATGGAAGAAACAAATTCTCATTTGCCAATAATAAGTTTGTTTCCATAGAAAAGTGGAGCAAATTTAAAGACTACAGACATGAAAAGTCTTTGAATCATATGAAAGTATTTTGTACAGTTTTGTAGTAATGGATTTTTATTCTCAAGATAGAATGAATAACTGCTGAGAAAATTTAAGTTGTCAAAACTTACAGAAGTTTAGGAAAAGCCAATTAAACCAAAAAATGAAGAAATTGAAAATCTCAACCCTGGATCTGTATTCCATAGACTTACAGGGAACAGTATTTCAGCAGGACTTTACTATATAAGCTGTTATAAAGCATTAAAAAAAACCAAACTTGAAAACTAATTCCACTTATAAATGTATTTAAAAATCCTAAATGATATATTAGCAACCCAGATCCAATTGAGTATACATGAACACGTATTTTTAATTCTTTCTTGTTCTAGACAGTGTTCCTGCCTTTATGAATCTCAGTTGGACATTTTAGAGGACTAAAACTATTTCAAGGCATTCTCTACCTTGAATTGCATCAGCCTTTCCCTAAACAACAATTACCAGTTCTGGATAAAATATATAAAAACAACTGTGGGAAGGCACTTGAAGAGTGCCTAAATGCTGGCAGAAATAAGAAGAGTCCATGCTTGAAAGAATAAACCACACTGAATGAGACAGGTTTATTTTCTACCACCTCCCTAAAGATTCTCACCGGTCTGAAAAAAATGGCATGATCAAAATTCAGGGCATCATCCCAATGTAAAGTACTTAGCTTCTTTTTAATACTAATCTTTTCAGCAACCAAGATCTCCTCTGCAGCTTTTTGGGTGATTTCTTTCTAGCAAAACTGAAAACTTTAAATGAGCTTTTTGCTTCTGTTTCTCACAGTATATCTGGCTAAAAACAAAAGCAATAACCATGCTACAACCTAAATGTTGCACTGCTTTGAAATTTCCTCCCAGATTAACTAGCTTTTACTCTCAGTCTCCCACAAAGCCTCAGGACATGAGCAAAATGTAGACATACTTTCTGCCGGAGCATAACACAAATAGCCTGTAGTCCCACTGCCAGTGGAGCCCTCATTCCCAACTGAAACCCCTTGAGGCTGGTCTTTTCCAGCTGTATTTTATCAGCATTCTGACCTTCTGAACTCTGACCAGAATCTCCCATCAAGTTCATTTTACAGCATTCTAGGGCTGCTTCTCCATCCTCTATCTCTAACTCTTTCCAAACTCCTCCCTCAAGTGAGTTCCAAAGGCTCCTGAACCACATGGTTAGGAGGTGTCATAGCAGTGACCCCACTTCTGGAACCAAAATCTGTCTTAGTCACTTTTCTTCATTGCTGGGACAATATACCAGACACCCATAACTTAAAGGAGAAAAGATTTATGTATTTTGTTTCATAGTTTATAGAGGTTTCAATCCATAGTCGGCTGGTTCCAAGACAGGATTGCCTGTCTTGGAGAGCTGCTCAGGGCATGGAGAACAGGTGGTAAAGAGAGAAAGGAGGCAGGAGGGAGATGGACACTTCCAGGCCATCCCCCAGTGACCACCTCCTCCACCAGGCTCCACCTCCCAACGTCACATTCAGCTATCAATTCATCAGTGGACAAATCCACTGAACCACAACAGGGGCAATTTGGAGTTTGAATCCTGTTAGTCCATCCTAAGTGAAACAGTTTGGAGTTTGAAACTTGTTGACTTACAGAGGCTTCATAAATACCTTAGGGTTTTTATTGAAACCCTGCAAGTGTCCTACCTTTCAGGGAAAGACAATGTTCTAAAACTAAGAATATACCCAAGACTTAAGAGCAAAAAAGGAACTAACCCATTCCAACAAAATGTTACATTTAGGTGGTCAGACAGTGATATTGTGGGATAGAACAAAAATGAGTACTGTATCTTCTACATTCTAAAGAAATAGAGGAAGAAAAAGAATTTCGGGCCTACTTGAGAACACACAAAAATCAAGTCAAAGTAATTCCTAAGTTTAAAGTAAAAGCTAAAACTAAGAAAAAATGTGAATACTTTTGGGATCTTAAGACACTAAAATGCTAAACATAAAAGAAAAGATAATAAATTAGATTTTAGCAAAACCAAAATTTAAAACTCCTGCCAGTTAAAAGATTCCATTAAGAAAATGAAAAGGCAAACCACAGACTAGAAAAAATATATTAGCAATACACATATCTAACAAAAGCATTGAATCTAGATTACAAAAATAATTTTTGTGCCTCAAGAAAACCTAGTTTCTTTAATGGGCAAAAGATACAGACACTTCTTAGAACATAGAATGGCCACTAGATCCACGAAAAGCTCTTCACCGGGAAGCACACAGAGAGCCACACCGAGATGCTACTGCTTACCCACTAATGGCCAACCTGGGAAGCTGTTTGTGGGAATGTGAGTGAGATAGGGATGGACAGGTGCATTGTTTAGCATTGTTTAGCAGCCAGACACACGTTACCTTTGTAATAGATAGAGTCCTTATATCAGGAAAAAATTTAATGGATGAAGGAATGTAACAAGGCAGTTCATAGGAAAAGAATTCAAATAGCCAACAAACTTAGGGGAAAGTATTTCAATGTTAGTAAATTACAAAATACAAAATGGAGTAATAATCTATTTTGTTCACATAATTGACAACAAAATTTTTAAAAATAAAAATTCCATTTTGCCAGAGGTATGGAGTATGTGGTAATTTGATACACACGTGATGAAGATGTGAATTAATGTAAACATTTCCTATCAGTGTATCAAATTTAAAGAGGGATCATATCTTTTGACCTAGGAATACTACTTCTAGAAAAGTGGCCTAGAAAAATACTTGCTCATGTTTATAAGAGAGATGCATAGGACCCCAGGGATTTAGCTCAGCGGCACTGCACCTGCCTTGCAGGTGCAAGGTCCTGAGTTTGATCCCCGGTTCCAAAAAAAGAAAAGAGAGAGATGCATATACATTTATTGATTCTTAAAGCAGTGTTCATCATAGTGAAGAATTAAAAACAAATCATCAGTCTTTATTAGAGTTATTCAGAATATTTAAAAAGCAAGTATCCTGCTGTAATCCCTGGATAATTAACTTCATTGTCAGTCGAAGGTGAAGTCAAATCTTCACTTCTTAGAGAGACATATTCAGGTGTTGGAAAAAGATATTTTGGTTCTTTTATTTTCATAACCAATGGCTGATTTTGTATGTGTTTTTATATTTGGCTTTTTTGCCCTTTCCTATGACCATATTTTATGAACTACAAAATCATGTTTAACTATAAAATGTTCAATGTAAGAAACAGTTTTCCCAAACAGGGATTTTACACCAAAAATGTTTTTATTTTCTTATTTTAATTGTTTTTTACTTTGTTCAGATTTATGCTATTTGCTCTCCAGAAAATGTAGTTGCTGTATAAATGTTGCATTAAGCAAGCAAGTGAACCAGTGTGATCCTAAGAGAATGCTGGCTTTCTCTGTATGCTTCCATCCGTCAGATTACAGAATGGCCTTTCTGCTTCAAACACAGAACAGTTTAGGGTGTGCTGAATTAGAAGTTGATTTTCCTAAGAAAAAGAAAAAGGTGCCACCCATGACCTGTTTTTTAGCAGTTTTGGAGCCTGGTATTACTTACAAAGAGCTACTCTGAAATCTGAGGAGAAGATATTAAGGACACAGTGGTCATAATATTACTTTCTGATGGTGTGGTCATACACCTAGAAAACCCAGAACAGTGAGTGTATGGAAGTTTATAATAATGTCCCTAGATCCAGTATATTATTAGGAAATTTTTCTGACTTTTCTTCTTTTAGTTTTCAGGATTTTGATATCCAGGGCTCCAGAAGATGCAGTTTGGACTGGTTGACAATAGACACATACAAGAACATTGAAAGTTACAGAGCTTGCGGCTCCACAATCCCACCTCCATACATCTCCTCCCAAGACCATGTCTGGATCAGGTTCCACTCTGATGACAGTGTCTCGAGAAAAGGCTTCAGACTGGCCTATTTTTCAGGTATGTGTTCCAAAAGAAGAACTCTTTAGAAGCAAACCCTGCTTGCCAACTGTTCATTCACTTCGGGGCAGGTCCTCTGAACAGTGTCCACGTACAGTGCAGAGGCCCTGAGGCCACTGTGCTGAGGATGAAAAGCTCAAGGCAGGTGCCACAGAGCACCGTCCCCAGAGCTGCATTGCATAACCCTAAGTGGTGGCTAGTGCTGCAGAGGAAGGGCGAGGCTCCTGTAAAAACCGCCTCTTCCCCCTCAGGTGCTTATCCATGTTGTGAGAGTTACCAGAATGTATTTTTTGGTGTGAATTATCATCGTTTTATACCTTCAAAGAAAAGAAATGACGAGAGTTTGTAGTCTCAGAAGATGTCCTTTTTTTTTTTGCTTTTTTAAAATGTATTCGAAAAGAGTAGCCAAATCACATAAATGCAAAAATTCAGAGCTTTAGTTACGTGTATTTTTTGCTGAGAAGTATTTTAAATCATCTGAAATTAGTCTCCTATACCAAATACTTGCTTTTTGTGTTTTCTTAGCACAGTCTTTAATATTTTGCTACTGACTCATTTTTTCACCTTTACTAATAAATACATTGTTTGGAGAAGTGAGAATTGGCCCAACATTGTTGATTTGGAGACTGTAGAAATCTGTTGTTGGGTTGTCTTTCCCTGTCTCGTTATTCAGGATGGAATGCTGAGATCATTAGAATTCCGTAGGCACATAAGTTTTTTTCTCTCTTTCATTTGTTCATTTGATGAATAAATTTATATCTTCAGCTTAAATGTATGCACTATTTTGCAGTTATGTTACAGAATAGAAATTATTAAATGCAAGTATTATATGATTACATGAAACACTATTACAGTTTAAATAGGAGTTTGCAAAACATGCTATGGATGTACATGGAAAAATGCTGTACATGTATATATAAAGACATAAGAATAGAGAATATCAAAACATTTAAAAAGGTGACTGTTTGGGGTGAAGCTTTTCATTTAAAAATGTCTCATGGTTTTAATGTTAATACAGTATTGCTTAGCATTCTTAAGTAGTATGTCCTGTTGGTTCATAAATCTCACATCGTTTTGCTAAGATCTTCAATACAGTAGCTCTTTACAAAAGTAGAATTAACCCTTTCTGTCTTCAGTTCAGGATACAAAGAACTCATGGAGAAAATAATGAGCATTTAATAAACTGTTGACTAATTAATGCCAGTACTAATTTGTCATTAGAACTTAACCTGTTGTTTTAACAAGATTTTTAAAAACCATCAACACTTGGGCTTAATCAATATTCATTATAAAAATACTTAGATTTTTTTTGAAGAATGTTTTTTCTTCCTCTCTTTCCATCTCCCTCTATCCACATTCTTCCAGGAAAAGCAGAGGAGCCGAACTGTGCTTGTGATCAGTTTCACTGTGGCAATGGGAAGTGCATCCCAGAAGCCTGGAAGTGTAATAACATGGACGAATGTGGAGACAATTCTGATGAAGAGATCTGTGCCAGGGAAGCCAGCCCTCCAACGGCTGCCTCCTTTCAGCCCTGTGCTTATAACCAGTTCCAGTGTCTGTCCCGTTTCACCAAAGTCTACACCTGTCTCCCCGAGTCTTTAAAATGCGATGGGAACATTGACTGCCTTGACCTCGGAGATGAGATAGATTGTGATGTGCCAACTTGTGGGCAGTGGTTAAAATATTTCTATGGTACTTTTAATTCTCCCAACTATCCAGACTTTTATCCTCCTGGAAGCAACTGTACCTGGTTAATAGACACTGGTGACCATCGTAAAGTCATTGTACGCTTCACTGACTTCAAACTCGATGGTACTGGCTATGGTGACTATGTCAGAATATACGATGGATTAGAGGAGAATCCACACAAGCTTCTGCGTGTGCTGACTGCTTTTGATTCTCATGCACCTCTTACAGTTGTCTCTTCCTCTGGACAAATACGGGTACATTTTTGTGCTGATAAAGTAAATGCTGCCAGGGGGTTCAATGCCACTTACCAAGTAGATGGCTTCTGTCTGCCCTGGGAAGTACCCTGTGGGGGCAACTGGGGCTGCTACACTGAGCAGCAGCGCTGTGATGGGTACTGGCACTGCCCAAATGGGAGGGACGAGATCAACTGTACCATGTGCCAGAAGGAAGAATTTCCATGCTCCCGAAACGGTGTGTGTTATCCCCGTTCCGACCGCTGCAACTACCAGAATCACTGCCCCAACGGCTCAGATGAAAAAAACTGCTTTTTCTGCCAGCCAGGCAATTTTCATTGCAAAAACAATCGCTGTGTGTTTGAGAGCTGGGTGTGTGATTCCCAGGATGACTGTGGCGACGGCAGCGATGAGGAGAACTGCCCGGTGATCGTGCCCACCAGAGTCATCACTGCAGCCGTCATCGGGAGCCTCATCTGTGGCCTGCTGCTGGTCATCGCCCTGGGATGTACTTGTAAGCTGTACTCCCTGCGGATGTTTGAACGGAGGTCAGTAGCAAGACAGGAAACATGGCCAAGGATGTATGAGCTGCAAGTCCTTCGATGGCACGAGCATTATGTTGGGTTTTATATTAGTTTAAAATGTATAAACACTATTTATGATTTATAATATTCTTGGGAAAAGCCCAAGATGTAAGGCTTAACTCATTACAAACTACTACATAGGGTTATGCGGTGGGAAAAGCCAATCTGTATTTACTGGCTCATGTTTTCAGATAAACTTTATAGGAATTTTGCAAGCTGCAACTTTCAGTTGTAATTTTTAACCTGTGTTTTATAAATATTCAGTAATTCCACATATTTGAGAGCCTGCTCTATTCAAAGCACTTTACAAGTGAAAAGAAAAATGAATAAGGCATAATCACACAAGCACTTTACAGTTAGGAGGAAGGAAATGGTGTAGAATAAGATGGCGAAAATGTAGGAGCTGTAAAGCAAGGTGCTATAAAAGTCAGAAGCACCTAATGTGATTGGGGTGGGAGGCTTTCCTTGGGGAGGTGCCACTTGGAGCGTGTCAGCAGAATGCAGCTAGAGAAATGGCGTTGGAGGTTTAGAAAGCCTGGAAAAGTCTGCAGAAGTGGGGACATGGAGCATTGCTCAGAGAGGAATGGACCCCAGGAGACACGAGGTCTGATAGGTGATGAGAAGGAGCACAAGGCTCCTGCCACGGTGTGGCATCCAGTGAGAGCCACGCTTCCGAGCTCCCAGTTCAAGAGGAAGTGGTTAAGCATTCAGAGGTGACCTTCAGGGAGACAGTTTTCAGTGTGGTACAGGATGGAGCTGACCTGAAAGAAACGGGCAAAAAGGTCCTCTCAGGCTGCTGTGGAGACAAGGACCTTCAGTCGCCAGAGCTGCTACAATAGATGTAACAGACAAGGTTACATTGGAGGTGCCAATGTCCTCCTAGCCGTTGCTGCATCTTTTCTTCCCTTAAGTGTGAAACTTTCCCGCCTCACACCAGAGGAGCATAGTGAAGGGTCAGTGTTCAGTTCACAATCCAGCTCTTCTGGAAAGAGGATGGTGGTGATCATTTCACTTATCTGGGAGGAACTGTGTTGAACCTGCTGGATTCAGTGTCTTCTGAGACCGGTCAGAGTGTCACCTGAAGTCCAGAACACAGTGTAGTGCTTCCCTTTGTCCTGTGCCTTTTACAGAGACTCCAGGCCACTAGAACAGTCATCCAGGCTGTTGCTAGTATAAAGCTCCTTTGGACAGAGGGTCTGCTTGATCCTTGTGTCCTCAGCATATGGACAGGACAGACATTCAGACAGCTTTCACACTGTGCTAGGAGTCAGGTGCTTGTAATTACTAACAGAAAATTACTATTTTGACTTGACTTTTTTGAAACTCTTTTTATCTCCGTCTGCTCTCAAAGATCATTTGAGACCCAGTTGTCAAGAGTGGAAGCAGAATTGTTAAGAAGAGAAGCTCCTCCCTCTTATGGACAGTTGATTGCTCAGGGCTTAATTCCACCAGTGGAAGATTTTCCGGTTTGTTCGCCTAATCAGGTATGTTGTAATTTCTTTTCTTTTTTAAAATTTTTTATTTTTTATTAGTACGTGTTTGTAGTATCTAATGATCACATTCATCATGGGGATGTGGGACATGCACGTCTTCATTCTTTTTTTCATCTCCTCCTCCCACATAAACTCCACCTCTTGGTCCCCTGCTCATTTGCAAAGGATCTAGCCCCCCGTTTCCTATAATCTATCTTTTATTTTGCTCTTATATTTTTGGTTTCTCATATAAGAGAAATCATGCAATATTTAAGCTTGTATTACTTCTCTTAACATTATGGTCTTGAGGTGCATCCATTTTCCTAGAAATGGCTCAAGTTTTATCTTCTTTATGACAGAGTAAGACTCCACTGTGTATAAATAACATATTTTCTTTATCCATTCATCTGCTAGTGGACATAGAGGCTGCTTCCAAGATTTAGCTATTATGACTTGTTCTGCCATAAACATGGATGTGCGTGTATTGCTGTAATATGACACTTGAACTCTTTTTTGGAGGAATAGCTGGGTTGACTGGAATTTTATTTTTAGCATTTCAAGAAATCTCCATACTGGTTTCCATAGTAGCTCCACTAGTTTACATTCCACCAACCATGTAGAAGGGTTCCTTTCCTCCCATAGCCTCACCACCATTGGTTATTATTTGATTTCTTGATGATGGCCATGCTTTATGAAATAAGATGGAATCTCAGTGTTACTTTAATTTGTATTTCTCTAATGGCTGGAGATGTTGAACATGTTTTTCATGTATTTATTGGCCATTTGTACTCTTTCTGAGAAGTGTCTGTTCATTTTAGTTGCCCGTATTTTGATTGGGCCTTTTATTTTGGAAGAGGTCTAATTTATTTTAGTTCTTTATATATTCTAAATATTAGTCCTCTGAGGAATAGCTAGCAAAACTTTTCCTTATTCTGTAAGTTATCTCTTCTCTTAGTTGTTTCTTTTGCTGTACAAAAAAGCCTTCTAACTTGATATGAGCCCGTTTATTGATTCTTGGTGTTATTTCTTGTGCAGTTAGGGCTCTGTTCAGAAGTCTTTGTTTACTATGCCTGTGTCTTCAACAGTTGCACCTATTTTACCTTCTAGCAGATCGTTTTTGATTTAACACTTCGATCTTTGGTCCATTTTGATTTTAATTTAGTGCGTGGTGAGATATGGGTTTAGATTCACTGTTCACATGTGGACAGCTGGTTTTCCCAGCACCATTTGTCAAAGAGGCTGTCTCCCCAGCTTAAGTGTTTGGCCCCTTTGCCAGAGATCAGATGGCTGACTGCGCCTGGGGGTGTTTCCGCACCTTCTGCTCTGTTCCTCTGATCCACGTGACTGTTTTTGGGCCAGTGCCATGCTGTTTTTCATTGTCTTCTTTTCTTCTGTTTTGTTTTTGAGACAAGGTCTCACTGTGTAGTTCAGGCTGGCCTTGAACTCGCAATCTCAGCCTCCCAAGTGCTGGGATTACAAATGTGCGCCACCATGCCCACCGCTGTGCTGTTTTTATCACTGTGGCTTTTTGTAATATAACTTGAAGTCCCAGATTGTGATGCCTCCTGCTTTGATCTTACCAAGGATAGCTTTTGCTATTCTGAGACTTCCGGTTCTATTGAATTTTAGGGTTGTTTTCTCTAGTTCTGTGAGGAGTGCTTGTAGGTATTTTGATTGGGATTGCGTTAAATCTGTATATCAGTTTTGGAAGTATGGCCGTTTTGATGATATTGCTTCTGCCTATCCAGGAACAGGGGACATCTTTTCATTTTCCGATGTCCTCTGCTTTTACAGAGTACTGTATTTTTCATTCTAGAGGTCTTTCACTTCCTTGGTTAGGTAATTCCTAAGTATTTCATTTTTCTTGGCACTATAGTAAATGCTGCTGTTCCTAATGTCTTTACCAGTCACTTCATTATTAGTGTACAAGAACAGTATTGATTTTTATGTGTTGATATACCACTAAATTACTAGAATTTGGCTAATTCTAGGAGTCTTTTGATAGATATTGTAACTTCTGATTTATGTTTCAGTACATCTTAAAAATGAAATTATACCTCTATAGATCTATACCAGTAAAGGAAAGACTCTTGACTGTCAGTATTTCTGCAATCAAATCAAGGATAAAATATGGAGAATTTGAAATTATATACTTTTATTACATTTCAACAAATACTACAAAAAAGCACATTTTATACACTTCTGATTTGATTATGTGATAGTTGAGCATTTTGCTGTCTAGGGTAATTTAGTGCACTTAGATTCAAAAGTCACTTTGGCAGACTACTTGGACTGAACATTTAGAGATTTAATAATAAGTAGTGAAATTAATATTCTGGTAAAATACTGTTTGCTAGATTAACCAGTTACAAATGAAAGTAATTGAAATGAAGTTAACATTTCTACCTCACTTCAGGGAAAACTTCAGCTTGGATTTTGCACTAAAAATTCAATCCATTTTCTTTGTATAGTAACTCATTCTTTATTAATGCTTCAGAACTCTTTAAGCTTCTTTTTTTTTTTTTTTTTTTTTTGGTGTCAGGGATCAAACTCAGGTCCTTGTGCTTGCAGGGCAGGCGGTGGAACTACTAAGCTAAATCCCCGGTCCTCTTTAAACTTCTTACTGGGTTTTAAAAATTTTATTTTTGAAGGCTTAAAAATGTGCCACGGTTCGTTTAAGACAAAGATTTATAAGCAAATTATAAATTTATCCAGAAACATCTATAAAAATTGTTCTCAGTATTAAGAGTTAAGAAAAATTGGTAAATTTTGTCTTCTTAGTGACTTAATTGTTCCAAATGGAATACATTTCATTTTTGGTAAATGAGATTTCTGATTACACTCTGTCACCTCATTTGAGTCTTAGGAAATCTTTGGTGAGAAATCGTAGTTTTCAAACATTTCTCCAGATGTTATTTGTAAATTCAGAATTTCCATTCTTTGAAATTCCGCAGGCAAAATAGAAAAACAACCTACACTGTGCCTTCTTTTTTGTTGGCACTGCCGTGAGGGAAGTGTTCCTTGTAGGTAGGAATTCAGACCCTGGCTTTTCATCCACCCCACCATCTACACCCCACACAAGCCCTGGACACTGGGAATCCAGTCCGCCCTGGCGGCCCTCATGCCTGGACCACCCTGGGCTGTCACAGTCCACTCAGGGACCCGTGACCGCAGTGCAGTCTGGGAAAGGATATAGCTTCAGATCGGCTCGGGAGAGCCGCGCTGTTGACACCGATGTATGGGATGCTGCTGACCAGGCCTCGCCCTGCGCCTCCCTGTCCCCTTGTCGGAACTGCATGTGTGACCACGCTGTCTAGCCCGCCAGAGACTGATGCCAGCTGGCGGGAAGCCCCAGCTGCCCTAATAGTGGTGGGGTTCAGAGCCAGCACCCGCTGTCCAGGGCTGCTCTGCCTGATACGGGGCCTCCGGGCAGGCACCGAGTCGGGATGACACTCCAAGGGTGTAGGGGTCACAGCCATGCCGAGGACAAAGGCTCTGAGGAGTCAGAGCTCCTCCAGCCTCACAGTTTGCCGCTGAGGGAGTTCCGCTGCAGCCGCACTTGGAACACGTCCGTGAGTGAGGAGCTACACTTCCTCATTCAGTAACTTAACTCTAAAGTTTGAAGATTTTGCTAACAAATCATCAAATGTGTGTAGCAGATTTTAAAAAGAAAATCTGTGATTTACTATCTTACTTGAAATAGAAGTGTTTTCTGAGCAAGTTTGCTGCGTCATAAAATGAAGGGGCCGTGAGCTTGCCCTGTAGTGTCTAACGTTAGGTTGGCAGTCTCTAAGCCAGGGAGAGTCCTCGGAGGAGCGCACTGCACTGCCCGTGCTGGTGACTAGTGGCATCGCCGGTCTCTGAAGAGCCCTGTGCGCTGCTGGCCTTGTGACCTCGTGTGCACACGGCTCTGCCACTTGAATGCGGAATCGAAGAAGTTCTTGTGGCGGTGGCCGCAGATCTTAAATGCAGAGTTTCGGGGCCCCTTAATTGATGCAGGAGCCCCTGTGTGCTACCCTCCAGGACCCTCGCTGCCATCGGGCCGCTCGGGCTGCACTGCCCTAGCTGCTCTCGAAACGCTCCCACCAGGGCGGTGTCGCCTGCCTGGAACCAGGGCGGCGCGTGGAGTCACAGAGCGGAGAAGGGAGGGAGTGCCACGCTCTGCGGGAAGGCTGCCTCTCACTTGAAGGAGGGTAACCGAGATCACCCCAGCGTCCTGGGAATGCGGGCTCCAGGATCGCAAAGTTGGCTCCAACTTTCAGTACTCTTAGGAACCACTAGGCGGAGCCCAAGGACTGTTAACTGCGTTTTTAAAACTAGTGTGGCACTTGTCTAGAAAACAATAGATTTTTCTTCAAATTGGGCAACTCAGTTATTTTCCACATAGACTAATTAAAAATCAGCAGTTTTTCAAAGAATAATGGTATAATGATTTATTAGCACTGAACTGTACAAAATAAAATTTAACCCTTAAAGACTGAGAAGGAATTGAGATATTTTAGATACTTTTGTGTAATGTTATAAACATGTCTTTTTAAACTTTTTGTTTTTTAAGCTGTGTTACAAATACATTAATTCTTTCCATTGTGACAGTCCAATTAAATCCTTAATATTTGTTCATTCAACAAACCCTTGAGAGCCAACTCTGAAATATAATTCTACACGTTTAGGAAAGTTTCAGCCTTGTAAATCAAGTCTAACTTGCTCTATGTTTTAACAACTGAAAGGGCCTGGTTTTCACACTGGGTCGCTTTGTGAAACACTGATTCGTTGGCCTTCCTCATTCTAGACGCATCTCATAAATGTATTTTCTACCCTTGTTATTACTTCTGGGCCTGGATTATTATTTGAGGTCTCTGAGACAGAGTAACCGTTACCATGAACATTGAATATAACTATGGAAACTGAATAAAAACGAAGCATCGAGAACGGCATAGATACAGGAGCGGTGTTACAGATTAGATTCTAGAGTGGGGTGAGCCTCGAGCCTGAGAATTTAGTTCACTTCCATCAACGCTAGTGAAAGGGAGAAGTTTTAGCCGTAACATATCTTTAACCCATTTATGGCGACTGAATTTCTTTAAAATTTTTGCATGAAATTCACGTGTGTTCCCTAGAAAAATTGAGGGCGGGAGAGGTGGAAAACCTGTCCTTGTGCCATTACTTCGCCCGGAAGCGGCCCCAGGGTTGGGGGAGGGCGAGTCCGCCAAGCTGAGCCGAGCTGCGCTCCTGTCTCTCCCCTAGGCCTCCGTCCTGGAGAACCTGCGGCTGGCCGTGCGCTCCCAGCTGGGCTTCACGTCCATCCGGCTCCCGATGGCGGGCAGGTCCGGCGGCCTCTGGAATCGCATCTTCAGCTTCGCGAGGTCACGGCACTCGGGCTCCCTGGCCCTGGTCTCGGCCGATGGCGACGAGGTCCCGAGCCCGGGCGCCGGCAGAGAGGCGGAGAGAGGCCACGGCGCACACCGGAGTTTGTTTTCCGTGGAGTCCGACGACACCGACGCGGAGCCGGAGCGGAGGGACGGCGGGGGCGCGGCGGGCGGCCTGGCAGCCCCGCTGCCGCAGAAGGTGGCCCCGGCCTCTGCCGTGGAGGCCGCGGGGGGCGTGCGGAGCCAGGCGGAGCCGGCCCTCGCCAGGGACGCGGCACGCGCGGAGGCCCCGGGCGCCAGCCCCGCACGGCAGCAGCTCTCCAGCGCACTGAGCCGAGTCACGCAGGGACTGCGCTGGGTGCGGCTCACGCTGGGGCGTGCGGGGCCGGCGCCGCACAGCCAGAGCCACAGCCCGCTGAGACAGCTGGAGCCCGCGGCAGGCGCCCGCCCAGGGGACGAGGACGACGACGTGGAGCTGCTCGTCCCCGCCGCCGACGGTGCCGACTGCTCCAGGCCGCTGCTTGACCTGGCCGCGGAGCCGGGCCCCGGGCCGGGGCAGCCTCCCAGCGCTGCTCTCCCCACACCTAGGCCAGGCCGCGACGGGCCCTGCGAGTGCTGCGGCGTGGTGCACACCGCCCGGGTGCCCGACTCGTGCCGCCGGGACCTGGACGCGGCGCGCAAGGGCGAGGCGAGCGACGATGAGGCGCTGCTGCCCTGCTAGGTAGGGGCGGGCTGCGCGAGGAGGCGAGCTCCTGGAGAGGGCTGCGGGGCGCCTGACGCCTGCCCACGCCCAGCCCGGCAGCCTCACGCCCCTCACGCACCCTGGAACTCTGTCTCCAGTTGATAGCAGCTGGAGCAGGCGCCCCGCGGTATGTATCCGCGTCCTTCCGTGACGCTCTTCCTTCCATTTGATTGTTTTATCCTGGTACTGTAGCCCTCGCGGAAACAAGGCTGCTTCACGCCTTGGTCATTTTTACCCACTTACGTTAAAAAGTTTGTACAAAAGTACTTTCTCATTGAACCTTTTATGCTTTTGCCAGCACATCTTGTAACAATACACTAGATGCTAAGATTGTTAACGTACGAAAGAAAAACCTTTACACTCGCCTTTTTATTTGTATGATATTTGTCTTTTATTGGATTCATATTACCTTGTCAAAGGGGAAAAAAAACTTCCTCACGTTTTCTCTTATGTTTGACATAAAGTGATGTGAATTTAGGTAGAGTTAGATGGATTAACGGCAAAAATAAAACTTTTATAGATTTTCTAATATTGACTTTAATACTCTAATATGGTATAAACCAAATGGTAAAATCCCAAGTCATTTCTGTTTTCATCTCTATTTAGGGACAGTTAAGCAGATGAAGATATTCTACTATGCATTAAACCTTGAACTTTATAAAATATGTACAGAAATTGTACATGGTAAGTTCCAGCTGGTAACGTCTTTCCTTAATGCTCTAGGGTTGCTCTTGTATTGGACCCTGCGGATTTGCACTGAAGTGTCAAGGTCTCAGATGAGTTTAGTGCACAGGCACGCTCACTTTAACACTATGATTTGCTACCACAGTGACTATATATTTCCATAGCTTTTTTCAGGGTTGGGGAGCATTTGTATTACAATTTGAAGTTACTTTGCCAGTTTCATATTTATTTGTTGTATTTAAAAACCGCGTTATTGTGACTTTTTCAATATATTTTATTCATGGGGGTCATGCTGTAATTTTGAAGAAAAGCAAATTAAGACATAATTCAGATTGCCCCCCTTTTTAAGTAGAATGAATTGCAAAACCTGTTTATTTTTTTTATTGTCAGCCCCTGTTTATTTATTCTTTAGCTATCTGTTTTAGTAGTTTTATGATTGAGTACGAAAATGTATTTGTGTGGTTATTGCTATTTATTGAATTTAAATACTTTGCTGAATGTCATTTTAAAGCATGTTTGAGGTCTTGTGTACTTGTCATGTTATGCTGTCAGGAAGAACTGAGTAAAATGTTTTAATATGTATCAAAAATTAAAATGATTTTTTATTGCCTTGAGGTACTTTTTTAATCAAAGTTGTTCTTTATTTTTGCTGAATTGTGGTACAAATATAGATCAGGCTATAAAATATGTAATACATCTAGAAGAAAGTGAAAGCAGGTATATTCTCCTTCACTGCTTGAGAGGGAAACTGTAGTTTTCACTCACCTAAGGGTGAGATGCCCTAAGGACCTGGAGAGTGTTTGCCTCCTGCGTAGTGTGCTTGTGAGAACGGTCACTCCTTTCACATGATTTTCACATGCTCTTCAGGGCCCTGTGGGATATTCTGCCAGTTCGGTTAGCAAGTTAGTTCTTTTCGGTCCTGTTGGTACTGCACCTTGGCTGTAGGGTTTTGGTTTTATTTTCAGGCGTGTTTCACTTGTCTTTTTGTTAGCTAATATACCTCCCTGGCCGGACAGTGAAAAGCTGCCCCTCCCCTGCCTTACAGCCTGCTTCTAGCTCCCTTCCACAGGGACATGTGCCAGTGCCACGGTTTTACTTCCTCCAGGAACACCGAGCGCTGTGCCCTGGGCACACATGTCCATACATCCGCAGACGCTGCACGTGTGTTTTCTGCACTCTTCAAGAGGGAGTACGTCCTTAGCATTGGAGTACTTAAAGCTAAGTGTCTCTTTAACTTGTACCTTCATGTCAGAGTTCTATCCTGAATTTAGGGCTTCACTGGGAGTTTTTCCAGGTGACCAGTTTTCCCAAAGCTACTTACTAAATAGTACATCCTTTCTTCATTAGTTTGAGATTGAACCTTTATGTAGTACATTCCCGCATTATTTGGGTATGTTTCTAGACTAATTCTCCTTCTTTCTGCCTCCTTTTGTGCCAGTATGACATTGATTTAGTGACTCATTTTAAAATATGTCTTAAGTATTTGTGCATATTTTAACATCTGAGCTTTAGAATCAACCTGAGACCCACAAACTTTTTGTTTTGGACATTTTTAATTTTGTTGATAAACTTAGGGAAACTTTACATCATTATCATATGAAAGCCTTTTCTCTAAATCTTGGTGCCCTCTATAAACAGTGCCTATTCATTTAGGGGGGTTTTGTTGTTATTTCCTTCAGGTGTAGTTTACAGAAATGTCATACATCTTTAAAGTTTAATCTTAACAAATTCCACCCTTTTATCGCTATGATTAGTGAAGTCCTTTCCATGTATTATTTAGTCTAATTTAGTATACAGAAAGGCTAATGATTTGTAATGTTAGTTTTCTGCCCAGCCGTCTGAGTTGGCTTTCTTATAGTTTGAGATAATGGTTTTCAGCTACATAATCATGACATCTACAAGCCTAGACAAGTGGGTTGCTTACCAATTTGTGTCTTGTTTAAGTGCTAATAAGTACTTTTAGAAAAATGTTAAATAACACTGGCTATGATGAGCTGGGTTGAGATAAACAGGTTTAATCATATTGAGGAGCATCCATTGATCCCTATTTTAAACAAGGTTTCTAAGAATGCATGTCAAGTTTTATCACATTCCTTTTCACCATCCGTGGGGATATTTCAGTGATTTTTTTTCCTTTGATTCTGGTATGGCAAATTTTATAAATATGTTTTGTAATTTTAAACCATCCTCATCCTTGCATTCCTTAAATAAACTCGTTTGAACGTGTGTTTTTTAATATATTACCAGATTGTTTCCTGTTTTGTTTGAGATGCTTGGCATTTACCTGGCCAGTGAAACCAGCCCCTCTGTATGTGTGCATGCGTACACGTTATCGCAGAAGATTTCTATTAGTCTTATGCTGGTGGGTTTGGAATCTTTCCTCCGATTTCTATGCTCTGCAACAGTATAAATAGCATTGGAATTTTCTCTTCCTTAAAATTTTGGTGAAATTATTGACCTGGCTCATACTTGGGAAATTGTTTTTGACAATTTTCTTGTAGTTTATGGCACTTGGTCTGCGTAGTTTTTATGTCTTGTCTGGGATGAGGAGCCACCCATTTCATCTAAATTTTCAAACTGATTTGCCTCCGGCTGAGCAGAGTTACCTCTTCCTCTTCTGTGAGTATGGCTTGTTCACATTTGCCATGTACTGTCTGTGCCCTCATTTCTTGACTGTGATGACTGACAGCCAGGCTGGGTGCCACAAACCTGTAACTTTGGCCACTTGGGAGGCTGAGGCAGGAGGATTGCATACACTCACAAGTTGATCAGCCTGTACAACAAGAGGAGACGCTGTCAGAAAAAAGGAAAAAGTTAACAGTTGGCCTGAGGTGTGTGAGTTGTGTGTGGTTTCCCAAAGGGTCATGCCTTGTCTGTATTCTGTAATTATTTTTGCTTTTATTTTCCTCTAACTTCCAGGCTCAGTAATCAATTCATTTATTTCTTAATTAGCAATGTGAGACTGAAGACATGGGCTGAGTTCTGAGCACCCTTAACCAACTCACTTGGTGCACTGGGGCTGTCATTGCTGGCATCTTCAGGTGTCCTTGGGTTGTGGGCCTGGGTCAGCCAGGGCCTCCCGCGCCCTAGGCGAGACCTCTACCCTGAGCTAGCTCCACCCCACCCGCAGGCCTCACTTCTGAGTTCCTCTGTAACCCAAGGGCTTTTGAATGGGAGTTTTTCCATCTTTGCTTTTCCCCAAATAGGGTTTTTTGATGTAGCTAGTAATTTTGTTTTCCTATTCTTTTATTAATTTTCGTTTTGGGGTTTTTTTTTTGTACCAGGGATCAAACTCAGGACCTTGTGCTTGTGAGGCAGGCGCCAGAACCACTAAGCTTAATCCCCAGCCCTAATTTTCATTTTTGACATCAAAACAATATGTGTATAATACTTATCTTTGGAGGTTATTGTCTTTCTGTTTTTAAAATATCTCAGGAATGCTTTTAAAAAGTATACTCTCGGGCTGGGGGTTTAGCTCAGTGTTCCCACTGCCTGCCTCACAAGCACAAGGTCCCAAGTTCAATCTCCGGTACCAAAAAAAAAAACAAAACCAAAAAAAGTATATTCTCTAGCCAGGTACAGTGGCACATTCCTATAATCCCAGCACTCTGGGAAACTGAGGCAGGAGGAGAAAAGTTCATGCCCAGTCTGGGCAACTTAATGACTTAGTGAGATTCTGTCTCAAAAAATAAAAATGGGACGTAGCTCAATGTGAAGGCCCTGGGTTCATTCCCCAGTAAAATACACAGTAGTGCCTCGGTTCATAAACTTAATTCTTTCCAAAGGGCCGGGGATTTAGCTCAGTGGTTTCGCTGCCTGCTGCTCAAGCGCAAGGACCTGAGTTTGATCCCCGGTACCAAAAAAAAAAAAAAAAACTTAATTCTTTCCACGATTCTGTTCACAAACCAAATTGGACGAGAACCTAATCAAATTTCCCCATAAGGTTAACCTAACCACTGAATTTTTGTATACAGAGTCCACTAGAAAAATGTGTACACACTTCAGCAGTTCGACATACTAGTAAATGTCGACGCTAATGTCCTCTACTTTGAGCACCTCATAATTGTAGAGGCCAAAGTTAACTTGTATTAATCTCATGATGTCTCCGTGAATTTAGTATCAAAGTACTTACATGAGTTTTTCTTTCCCTGCCGTATGCATGGTTTGGCAGACTGCATGCATACATATACACACATGACGCACTGTAAATTTACTCAGGATGTGCACACTGACCAGGATGCGTCCACTGAGATGCTGCTCAGATGTGCTCTAGGTCTCCTGGAGATGGGGGCTTGGTCTCCCCAGTGTGTCAGGGATGGCACTGTGAGCACCAGGTAGTGGGGGAAGAGAGTACAAAAGGAGGTGCTGACTGTGCTGGGGGCCCACCCTAGCTCCTGGGGCACAATCCCCCTGAAAACATCAGGGTGGAAGAAGGTATCTGCTGCAGCATTTGAGTTGCTTCTTTGCTGCCTCCAGTCTTCTGTCACCATGGTTACGCTGGAAGTAGGTGGCCGAGACCCTTGAAGAGAGTGAGCACAGTCAGTGCACTGGGTGTTTCCTGGCTCCCAGGCCCTGAGAAGGAGGCCCTGTGTTATAGGGCCAGCAGGAGGCTAGGAGGAGATGCAGCAACATGGCCACGCAGCAAGGAAAGGATTCAGTTCTGGGTTTTCTGGAGTGAATGCTCCAACTAAAGGGGGGTGAGGACTTGTAGGCAGGATGTAACTCAAGTGTGAGGTTCAGCTGTGTGGGGGATAGCAAGGCCATCTGCTCCGTGGCACAAGGCTGCTTTGGAGGATGACCAAAACTCTCAGATTAAGCGAAGGTTGCAAAACTAAATGTACTAAAAATACACCATTGAACTGTACAGATTAAGTGGGTCAACATTATAGTATGTAAATGATAGAGTTTTTAAAGATCACAGAACAAAAATACAAATAATGCCCTTTTCTGTTTGCTTTTAGAATTAGCTCTAAGCTATTTCTCTAGAATTAACTGTTACGGGTTATATTTAGATGTCCCTCTAAAGCCTCGTGCACTCATAGATGGGGCTTTGGGGAGTGGCTCAATCATGGGTGTGTGATACCTGGATTAGTGCACTGATTGGTTTAGGGTAGTTCTGGGTGTGGGTGATGGATTTACTGAACTGGGGAACCCACCCTGAATATGAGTGGCACCAACTAATAGGCTTGTAGCCTGGACTAAATAAGGGAAAGCAGAAGAAAGGCCGCTGCTTCCTGCTTACCCTGCCACGGACTGTTTCTCCTCTGCCATGCTGCTCCGCCTTGGAGACAGCCAACTATGAACTGAAATCTCTACAAACTATGAGCTGAAATAAACCTTCCCTCCTTTAAGCTGTGGTTGTCAGGTTTTGTCCTAGCAACAAGAAAGTAAGACAGTAACCTTGCATATTCTGCAGGAGAAAAGAAGTTGCTTCATCCATGAACAGAAAACACTGCTCATTTTCATTTATTCTCCAGTAGACTGTGGCGGTTGTAAGTACCATTGGTCTTAAAATCTGGTCAAAGCAGCATATGACTTTGGCTGTCAACCTCTCTGTGCTGAAGTTTTTACATCTGTAAAGAGGACATATATTTCCTATCCTGTGGAGTTCTCTTAGAGATGAAATAATATATATATAAGGGCTTAAACTCAGTGTCTAGCACATTCACATTTGCCAACTGTTTTCTTAGTATTTACTGAGGGGCTGTTTCACACCAGGCACAAACTAGTCCTGCCCTTGACCTGACTTGGAGCTTTCATGGATGCCCTCCCTGGCCTCCTCCTCCACATACTCCCCAGAGGGTCAGGGGGACATGCATTCCTAGACCACATTTTAGTACCTGTCCTAGAATTTCCTGTCCAAGTGGCCAAAGCCATGCAAGATCTGCCTGGCCTCCTCCCTGGGTCTGTCTTCCCCTGGCTCGATGGAGCTGCCATGGACTTCTCCAGGGAAGGACAGGCCCTGGGCAAGGAGAAAAGAGGGTCAGCTCGCTGTCCACACTCTTGCCCTGGCACTTCCAAACATCACCCAGCACAAATGTGAATCCTGTCAAAGACACTGGATTATTTCTGCAAAATGGAAAAATAGTCCACTTTACCCCCCCCAAGCCCTTTAGCTCTAAGCTACTACTGTAAGATCATCTTTCCCCTTGAAGATTGCTTCCTATTAACTACAACAAAGGATCACTGCCTTGAGTAATTGCATATTTTCACTTCATTTCTTTTTTTTTTTTTTTTGGTACCGGGGATTGAACTCGGGTCCTTGCGCTTGCGCAGCAGGCGGCGAAACCACTGAGCTAAATCCCTGGTCCTTCACTTCATTTCTAATTAGTACTTTTTCTTGTTCCTTTGAAAGGCTAATTGCAAACATCCGAGTTTTTGTATTATGACAATAAAAATGCCTTATTTTTTAAAAAGTCACTTATATAGATTTCCAATGTGTTATATTCAATAAACCGTTCCCAGAGGAAAGTGTAGATAGGAATAAATAGATGTCGAAGAAGGGGGAGGGGGGCGGATAGAAGAATGAGAGAATTTTAAAGATATTTCAAAATTAGAGGTGATGCCATGAGGTGAGATGGTATGAGGCACTTAACATTTTGAGATTTTCCCAAATATTCAAGTAGATATCAAATATATTTGATAAAGTCCAAGTATAGCTGACGTGAAGGTTCAGTACCTGAATAGGACTATGTACATCAAATGTGTGTGAATTGCACATTAGAAACACAAGGCAGAAACTAAAGAACTCCCATTAATCTTTTAAAAGGGAATATCGTGCTCAATCTACACGTTCTTTAAATAATTTGAAAACTGCCTAATGTGAAAAATACATTGTATAGATCCAGAAAGTCATGATTCCATAATGTGAAACTGGACTTGTATCTCAGAGATGTCCACAGAATGTGTTCCTCACCTCTAGGAGAAAAGTAACCGCTGTGTAACAGTAGGACACTAACCCCACGCTGCAGGAGCAAGCCAGACTTGGTCTCCTCGAGCTGCCACCTAGTGGTGCACTTCAGCATTACAGTTATTTATTTTGCAGCACTGTTAGTTCAGCATCTTCTTTTTTCACAACACTCAAAAGGACTACTTTGAGGTCCAAAATGCAAATTGAAAATTGACGTGAAAGTTGAATTTGGAGCTGTAGAGAAGCTTAAAAGAGACTCCTCCTGCTGTAGAGCCCCATACTGTAACATCGACCGGACGGAAACGAAGCCGTAGTGGGCCCTTCCACGCCCCGCTCCATGAGGTGGTCTGGCTGCGAACGCACAGCTGTGTACATGGATGCAGGTTTGTTTTCTAAAGGTAGCGGATGGGTGCTGTATGAACACGGTTATGGAACAAATGGACCGTATTCTTGGCCTATAGCGTGCTACCCACGCGGAGTTGGATCCCAGGAGATACTCGTTGCATACGAGTGACACTTTAGTGAAGAAGGAAGTACCCGCCCCGTCACCTACGGCTGTATTAGAGAGATGTAGGTGGAGGAGAGTTAGACGCCACAGGGCAGGCGGGGTCTCTGCTGTGCATGGACCAACAGCGTCCAGGCCGAGGCCTCAGCATGGCTGCACCTGCACAACCGCACGCATCTCCCAGGCCAGGGCCGGGGCCGGGGCCGCCCTTCCCTCCCTGCTGGCAGAGCCTCGCTGCTGGAGAGTCAGTGGACCCAGTGGGGCCTACCTACCCTGCGCTCAGTCCCCCAGCTCAGGGTTTCATTGCATCTGCAAAGATAGGAGCAGCACAGCCACGGCAGCTAACTTAAAAGTAGACGTGAACCCTGGTGAACGCTGACAGCGGAGTGTGGATCCATAACGGCTAAATCGCTGTCCCGACGTGAAGCCCCCCCTCCAGTATCCGCCGCCACATGGCCTAGAGCAGGGGCTCGGACTTCCAGAGGGCCATCTGTTAGAGACAAGCGCTGAGCTCAGACGGCTGTTGTGAGGCGTGGGTAAATGATGTCCGTGAAGCGCTTGGCCCACGACTGATACCGCGGGTGCTGCAGGATCTTAGCCAATGCTTGCTGCTGGTGCGGGTCAGATCAGAGTAGCCCACTTCTCCCTGGAGTGGGGCGTCAGGGAGGCGCACTCCCAAGTTACACAGGAAAGTAGCTACCCGGCAGGCCTGCAGTCAGGGGCTTCCCTGCCTCGCTTGCTTGGCCAGTGCACACGGGCTGCTGCAACCCCGGACCCGACACTGATTCCCGAGCAAGGTGAGCTGATCTGGGCCAGGAGCCCCAGGGCAAGGTGCTGGCAGGTTCTGGGGAGGGCGGCCCTCAATACAGCACCGTCCACCACATCCTTGGAGGGGACACACTCCCGACCTCTTGTGACAAGGACTGGAAGGACAGAGAACCAAATGCTGCACCAGACCTGGGTCCACTGAGGAGAAGGGGTCCCCATGACCGTGTCACCTCCCGGTGGCCCCTCTTGGCACTACTGCATGGGATTCGGTGTCACCTCGGGACATGCTCAAACCACAGAGCTTCCCCATGGCCCCGGGGACTGAGGCTTCACACCTGCAGGCAGCACCCTGCAGGGCTTGGCCTTGGCCTGGCAGGAGGGACTGGAAGTCAGAGTCCCGAGTTGGGAAGGCAGGCCTAGCCTACCCAGTGCCCAGTTTGTGCACTCAGCCTGGGAGTGCCAGGCCCTGTCCACATGCAAGAAGGGCTACGGGCTCACCTTTCTCCAAGGGGACACTGAGGCAGGGCCTCAGGAACCTGCACAGGACAGGTGGGGACAGGTGGGCCGGGGGGATGCGGGGCCGAACAGGCCCAGTGGGCTTCTCACCAGGGACCGGAACCCACAGTGAAGGGAGCGCCCTGTTGCTCCCCCACTTTTCTGCCCAAGTCCATCCCGAGGCTCTTCCTGCCGTCAAGATGCTCTCGCCAGTCATCAGCCAGCAGCACCCCCGCCATGAAAACTGTTCCCCGAGGAGCCCTGTGCCTCCATGGATCACCTTGTCACTGTCAGTCAGGGCCTCTTCAGCCAGGAGAATGCAAGGCCCCTGGTCCCTGCCTCCCAGGTCAACAGTGAGTTTCCTCTGCTGCCACAAGGGCCCTACATATCGAGAGAGGACGCGGGCAGCAGAGGGGACACTCCCGGGACAAGCTCAACCTGCTGCCCTGCAAGGTGTCAGGCAGGGAGCCAGGGGACGGTCCGCTGTTCTGCACCCGCCTTTCCTCTGGAGCGTCCTCTCCTTTCTCCTCTGACACTGCCACTGAGTCAAAGGGAGCTCTTTCCTCCCGCACTGGTGACGCCCCACGGCCCCTTTTCTGATACAGTTGAGCTAATTAAGCACAGTTTGTGTGGTGTTGCAGGGTGTCTTGTGATACGAAGCCCCAGGATAAAGAAGCCTCTGGAAGCACTGATCCACACAGTTCCCGAAGGGGTGTCAGTCAGGACAGCCGACACCCAGCGCTGGTGCTGGGCGGTGCAGGGCTCGCAGCAGCTCCAGGGTGTGCATAATTCCACTTCCCGAACACGAAGGCCCCGCGACAGTAACTGCACAACCTTCTTGGTTTTTTTAATCCTGGCTAGACAGCCAAAACTCTGGGACTTTCTATCATCAATGCGTTCTAATTTTTACATTTTCCCGTTTTCTTTTATTAGTACTACTTATTAATCTTTACAAGACACCGAGTTTCAACGCACATAATTCGGCCATATCCATCTCCCTATTGATGCTTTCTAATTTTTAATCATTTTGAGGTCTGGTAACCTGGAGCTCGGGAAATCTGACAGTAACAGCGCTTTGCATTCACTGTTGACGTCACGGCCCAGGCACAAGGGCGTGGACCTCAGGCTCTGCCAGCCGACTCCGCAGCCACAGCAAGCTCAGCGCCAACCAGCTCAAGGAGCAGAAAGTCTGGGGTGGGGTCTGGGCCGGGCCGGCTGGTGTCGGGAACCCGCAGCCCCGGTGCTCGTGTCCAGCAGGCTGCTGCCCAGGGCTCTGTCCTGTGCCGTCCCGCAGCCGCTGGGCCTGGCCTGCCCGGAAGTCCCGGGAGATGCTCTCGGGTTATCCGCGGGGCCTGGCTGGCTTCGGGGCGTCAGGCGGGGCTGGCAGAGGCGGGTGAGCCGCTCGGTCGGTCAGTTCCTCTGGCAAGATTCCGGGTGGCCGCAGTGGGCTCTGCTGGCTGCGTCCGGATGCGCCTTGCGCCCTTGGGGACAGCTGCCCGCCGCCCTTTCCTCCCCACCTGGCTCCCTTCCCTAAGCCGACCTTCCACGTGGGGTCCTCACCTCTCCAGGAATTTTCCATCTCGTTTTCTTCAGGCCAGAAAGAAACTTCCCTTCCCCTCTGCCAGGCAGAGCTTTCTGTTGTACGCCCCGAAGTGCCCCGCGCCCCAGGAGCACACAGGTTCGCTCCCCCGGAGCCCGGGCCCAAGCGCCGCGGCGGCTCTGCGCGAAGCTGGCACCGGGAAAGGCGCCCCTGAGGCGCGTCCTTGTCCGCGTCCAGGCGGTCGGGCGTCCTGCGGAAGGGAGGAGCCTGAGCACGACGGCACCGAGGGCTCGGCGGCGACCGCTGTGGTCGTGAGGCCTCGTCTGGTCCGTGCGTCCCGTCCCCGCGTCCCGGGTTCCCGCGCGCTCCGCCTCCCGCCTGGCCCGCGCCCCGCTCAGCCTTCCCAGCCCTCCCTGGGGCGGGGCGCCGCGGGCCTCAAAAGCCGCAGCCGGGGCGCGGGCGCGGGCGCGGCGGGGCCATGTCGCGGCTGCTGGTGCGCGGGGGCCGCGTGGTGCACCCCGACTTCTCGCAGGACGCCGACGTGCTGGTGGAGGGCGGCGTGGTGCGCGCGCTCGGCCCCGACCTGCGCGCGCCCGCGGGGACCCGGGTGCTGGACGCGGCGGGAAAGCTGGTGCTGCCCGGGGGCATCGACCCGCACACGCACCTGCAGCTGCCCTTCATGGGCACCTGCTCGGCCGACGACTTCCTGAGGGGCACCCAGGTAGGGCGCAGAGAGACTCGGCGCCGCCAGGGCCGGGCGTGGGGCCCTCGGGGACGGGGACGGGGACTGGGCCGGGGTCGGGACGGGACGCACCGCCCCTCCTGAGGGGCCCTGCAGCAGGTAGGGGCGCAGCCACCCGGCCCAGGGCCAGGACCGAGCTCGCCAGGCCGCGGGCTTCCAGTTCACACAGCAGAGCTGGGGCCTGGGGCCGCCCGGTGCCCTCCGACCCGCAGGGTCCCGGCCACGCCGCCTCCACCGAGAGCCCAGCTGGACACCAAAGGGCCACCGAGGCCCAGGGCCCGATCGCACGGCGCCCCTCCTCCCGTGCGCGGGACTGGCGGGGGGGCGGCGCGCAGGCGGGCGCTCCCGACCGACCGCCGGCGACTCAGTCAGCCTGGAAAACTCCGGCTCCCTTCCCAACTCCCGCTGCCCTTCTGACAGCGCGTGTCTACACGCTACGTAGGCGTCGGCTGTTAGCACAGCTCTTGATTGTAGAAAATCTGAAAAATGATAGAAAAGTGGAAAGAAGGAACAATATTAACCACACAGTGCTGCCCTCCGAGGGCCAGCGTCTCTGCTCTTCAGGCTCGGTGTGCCCGGCGCGGAGGCCTGCAGGTGAGTGTGTGTGGAACTGCAGGGGTCGCCTGCTGTGTCCTGGGACTGGCGGTGGCAGGGCCTCCCTCAGCGCCCACTTGCGAGGGGACTCGTGTTGTTGCTTCGGAGCGTACAAAGAGGGTTTTTGCACCGGCTGGTCCTCTGGCACTTCTGGCCTTCGTTGTCAAAACACCAGAGGGCCGGGGATGTAGCTCAGTGGCCCTGCGCCTGCCACGCAAGTGCAAGGTCCTGAGTTCGATCTCCGGTACCACAAAAAAACACAAAACAAAACGAAACAAAAAAACAGAAACACGTTCGTTCTTCATGAGCTTGGCATCTTAAGCAGAAAATTATATCAGAGAGACTGAGGTCAAAGGTTTAGCAAACACAACTTCCTGTTGAATATTAAATGGTGCTCACAAAGGCCCCCAGTGGAAGTGGGTTGTTGGATCCCCGGACATGACACTCCCACCCCCAGAACCAGCACAGCCCCATCTTCTGTCCCGGCTGTCACAGTGGTTCCCAAAGGCGTGTTGGTGGATCCGGGGTTGAGAAATTAGGGACAAAGATGCCTTAGGTGAAAACTGGTGTCCACCACCTTGAAAGTGTGTGCTCACTAATGCCGCCACATAACATGTGTCTGGTCGCGTACCTGCTTCATGACAGGCACTGCGCTAAGTGGTGCATTATTTCCCCGGGGCTGTTATCTAGTTTTTACAACGGAGGAAATTGACACAAGGTGCCTGCCCCATGCCGCACACCTGGGAAGTGTCCATCGAAGTGGCTCTTCAGATTCAGTGCTCCCTGATTCCATCGCGAGAGTGCTCACCTGTCAGTCTGGATGTCTTTGAAAGAGCGTTTATATTCAGAGTTGTCAGAGCGGCGCTCGATGGATGGGCAGAAGGCTGCACCAGATGCATGTTGATGAGCGCAGGCTGTTTCAAAAGTACAGGGCATGAGCCCTGGGAAATCCAGTGGCCCTTGGCCTCCACAGAGCCGGGACGTTAATGGTTATCAAAATGAACGCATATCATGGGGACAAATGGTGTAAGGCATTTGCACACGCATTTACAGCCATATCCTCTCCAAAGGTACAGAAGGCCATAAAGTAAAAGATAGACCTTGCTGTCAGGACTCAGGCTCCAAAAAGTTAGACCAGTAGCTATTTGCGTTCTGCATTCACCAAGCTGATTACTGTGATAGTTGACAAATAGAAGGGAAACCGTTTGTGTTGTCCTATTTATTGATCACTTGATTGTGAGGGGACCCAATTTAGAAAATGAAATGTAGGTTAACTAAAGGTTACATATATTGTAAATCTAATTCATGTCTGAGATTGGTTTAAAGCCTGTAATTGATCTATGTGATTACAGGTAAAAGCTTTCTCTCTGACATAACTAATGGAAATAATGTTCCACTTTAAAGAAATCCTATTTCACTCTGTTCTATACTAGATGGACTGTGGTCTTCCAATAATTCAATATCCATGAGGAAGAAAGATGGGATGTCTTATTCACTGGGTATTGTGAATTCAATAAATTCGAAGGAGCCATGGCTTCACTTTTACTACATACTATGTATGATATGACATAAGAGTTCAGCAAGTTTTCAGATATATAGATTGGTGTTCAGACATGTACGCATGTTGCGGGGGGAGGACTTACATTAAAAAGCTGATTGAGTTGGCAGCTGGCAGCAGTATCCTCTTTAAAAAATTGGGAAAACACTCAGCATACTTTATTTTTCTAGTAAAAGACGAAAAAACTCACTGTTACTGGGAAGGGAAATTATACTTTGCTTAGGAACTTTTTGGTAAAACACCAGTGGAGGGTTTGCCCCCGAGGCATGTAATGAAGCACACACTCATGGTCGTATTCATAGTGCTTTCTCACCTCCAGGGGAAGCGGGCCTCTGGGAACCTTGAATCCCCTTTCTATTCCCCCCCACTACCCGAGCTGGACTTCAGCGCTGGGCTTGTGTGCTGAGGGTGAGACCCCAGGCCGGGGGCCTCCTCTCCGGGGGTCCCAGCCTTGCCTAGGCTATAGAATGAGGTTTGGGTTGGAAATGGATAAACAGTGAATGAGAAATATCGTGAAACATTAATACATTGATCACCCAGCCCCTAATAAAATCCTGGAGCATTATGCTTATTCCATATACATTAGTTGGACGAACAGATTGTTTTTTGTCAAAAAGGAAAATTCAGGACCGGGAATTTAGCTCAGTGGTTCTGCTGCCTGCCTCTCAAGCACAAGGTCCTGCGTTCAATCCCGGTAACAAAAAAAAAAAAGGTAAATACAGAAAAAAATTAAAAAGTAATGTTTAAAAGTCTTATATTTTCTTCCTTCCTTTTGGAGTTTTTCTTCTGAAGAGGGGCATGCAAACTTTTTTTTCAGTACTGGGAATCGACCCCAGAGCATGCTACCACTGGGCCCCTTTTACTTATTTTGAGACAGGGTCTTCCTAAGCTGTCCAGGTTGGCCTCGAACTTGGCTCCTTGTGCCTCAGCTTTGTGCGTGGTGGGGGTTCCAGGCCTGTGGAATCACCTCCAGCTGTGCCTTTTCCCATCTGCAGTTAGCGCCTCTGCTTCAACAGGTCCTTAGAGATCACTGGAGAACGTGATCATGCCGCCCCCTCTCCTCCCAGGGCCGAGGCTCGGGTTTTCCTCACAGCCTGGGTCACTCCTAGGCCCTGGGGCTGTGAGTGCACCTGGCCTGGCAGGACCTCAGGCTAGGTGTCAGCCCTTCCGAGACCGGCCGCTCCTTCCTGTCTCTCGAACCTGGGCGGCTGCACGCCATCTCCTCCAAGGGGTGTCTCTGGTCTCCGCGTCCCTGCTAGGACTGAGCAGTGTGGTGACAGCCGATGAGACCAGTCGAGGTCACTCTGAAATCCCCAGGTGAGGTGTCGGGCTTCCGGGCTGTTGGTGGATATTGGCTTTTAAAACAAATCTATGCCAATTTAACAGGAAAAATATGGAATTTCTGAATGTTTTCAAAAGATAAAGTCTTTCATTACTGGTAAGGCTGAGCTTCGAATGTCTGCATTGGGTTCAGAGTTTGCAGGGTTTACGAGTGCCCGCTTTTCCGGACTGGCCATTCACGATTGCAATGCCAGCCTTTGGAGTGTTTAGGGAAGGGAGGACGTCTCCGACTGATTTGAAGCCACTTGATGTTAAAGCAGCTCTTGGGCTCCATGGTCCTCATGTTAGGAGTCTTCCCACTAGACTTTCCCAGAGCCTGGGACTTGCTGCTTCCAAGTACTACACGATTTTCACGTCCACATCTTCCTCCTCATCTGGCTCGTTTAGGTGTCCGACACTGAAATGTTTTCAGTGTTCAACAAGGTTGTCTAAAGATGGAGGTTTGCACAGTATGGTGGTCAGCGAGGAGAAAGTATTCCTACACCCTCTGTTCTGCGGTCGAGGGCCTTCCAGTTAAACTGACAAAAGGCAGATCAGCAAGAGAGTCTGCCCCAAAATATATTCACACTTCAGGAAAGAAAACCCTGCACAAGTATCTTAATACTGAGTTTACAAGACATCATGAGATTAACGCAAGTTACCTTTGGCTTCTACAATTGCAAGAGGTGCTCAGAGTGACGGCCGTGAGCTTCCAGGCATTTGTCGCTTTTCTCTTCCTGCAGTGTGTGTACATTTTTTTGGTGGACTCTGTGTATTATTAAAAATGTATACATGTATGTGGGAATTCACAGAGAAATGTAGCGCAAGAAGAAGTTGCTTAGAGCTGGGGCGGAGCTCAGTGTGGAGCAGGCAGGAGGCCTCAGACTGCCCAGCACTGACAGAAAAGGAGCAGCTAGAACACGGTGTGTCGGCACCATCCTGCCAGAGCAGAGCAGAGGCCTCCACGGGAGCTTGGAGGGCTGTGGGTGAGCGGGCACGCCAGACTGTCAGAAAAGACAAGGGACCCTCGGGGAGCAACGTAGGGCAACGTAGGTAGGAGGGCAGTTTGGTGTGCACGTCCATCTGGTTGTGGGCCAGGCTCTGGTCCACGGCAGTGAGCCAGGATCTCCTCACCGCAACTCGTAGGAGGGTATTTATAAAATTGAGGTTTTTAAAAATTAGTTTTATTGGTACGCTTTCAATATACATAATGATCACATTCATCACAGGGAATCTGTACCTACACAGGATGTATCTTGGTTCTTCTTTTTCCCATTCCCCTCCCCCATCAACCCTTCTTCCCCTCCTTATTCACAAAGGCTTTGTTTCCATTTTTCATTCTGTTCTCTTTGTTTTTTTCTTTTCCCTTCCTTCCCCCCCCCATTTTGTTCCTCTTCCCATTTAACATTTTCTTCCTACTTCCTGATATCTATTATTCATTTTGATCCTTATATATGCTTTCAGTTTCTCACATAAGAGAAACAATGCAATATTTAAAACTATGTGTCTGATTTATTTCATGTAAAAGTGTGGTCTTAAGGTACATCCATTTACCTAAAAATATCTCGAGTCTATCCTTTATGGAAGAGTAGTACTCCGTTGTGTATAAAAAAAAATATTTTCTTTATCCATTCATCTGTTCATGGGCAGCTAAGCTATTTCCAAGATTTAGGTATTACAAATTGTGCTACTGTATATATGGGTGTGTATATATTGCTGTGGTATGATGGTTTCAATACTTTCAGGAAAATACCAAGAAGAGGTTTAGGTGGGTCAAACAGAACCTCTGGTTTTAGTTTTTTGGGGAATCTCCATTCTGATTTCTACATTGTTTGTAGCAATTTACTCTCCCACCAACAGTGGAGAAGGTTCCTTTTTCCCCACAGCCTTGCCAGCATTTGTTATTGGTTGATTATGATGATGATGATCATGATCATGATGATTATTTGTTGTTGGTTGATTTCTTAGTGATGGCCATTCTTTCTGAAGTGAGATGGAATCTCAGTATTGTTTTAATTTGTATTTCTCAAATGACTAGTGATGTTGACCATTGTTAAAATATATTTATTTGCCATTTGTTCTTCTTCATCTGAGAAGTGTCTATTTTAGTTGCCCCATTTTG